ACTGAAGAAAGAATTCTGTTCTAAATTCCCGTAATGCTAACAAATACAAGCAACTGAAGAAGGCTGGAGAATGCGACGGTCGAAAATATAGGGCAGTAATAATAATGATTCCTCATCTATGAAATTCAGATAGAAAGAAATTCTTACGAGTCGGGTTAAAAATCGTAAAAGATATTCGACAATGTTTAATCTTCATGCCTGCAAACAGCGTCTCAAAAGGACTGTTATTTCCTTGACGCCGCTATTACTGTACAATGTTACTCGACAATGTTTATTTACATGATTGTAAAAACATGTGAACCAAGTGCAATGTGATTTTACCTTTTATAAAGATTTATTCTTTATCATTTTATAAAGAAATACATTTGAAAATGATTTTTTTATTAATTTTTAAAAAAATAATCAAAATATGTAAACCATCTACAATGCAATATTTATTATTTGCCATTTTATAAATAAATATATTTGAAAACAATCTTTTTATTAAAAAACTTTTAAAAATTTTAAAATGAAAACATCACCAAAATATGTAAAACAACTACAAGGTAATATTTATTTCGAAAAAGGTTTAAATCGTCGCTATTTTATTTATAATGCCTAGAAAATCTGCAGACCGATTAAAAAAGCAATCTAATAATTAATTTGTGATTAATACCTTTGTTGTCAATTCTCACGAATAAAGAAAATGTATAAATTCATTTTCAGATGTTTGAGTTTTATTAAAATTTTAATCATCCATTTTTAAAACAATAAACATTGTCGTGGAGTGAAGGTAGTTAAAATAATAGCAGTGTTAAGGAAAAGACTGCTGTTTTCACACGCCGTATTTTTAGCGGCAAAAAATGTTAAACGTTGCCGGAGTTTCAATATTTACTAATACTATTTTTTTCTGTTTTAAATTTACACCACCATAAAATAATATGCATTATATGTAGGACAATTTTGAAAAAAAAATAATTAAACGTTTCTTTCTAAAATCAGTCAATTAAAAAAATATTAAAATTTCAGCCGTTTTCGTGACTTTTGTACCACCTTTGATATGTGAGATTGTAATGTTCTAGGAAGCCTCCACACAGGAGTCTGTTCGACAAAATATCAGTTCTAAGCTGACACAAATATGGAAAACACAATGAGGATATAACACACTATTCAGTAGTAATAGTTCGTTAACCATTACTCTACAACTCATTCCATCTTTAATATGATTGAAAATACTGATAAAAGTCTTTCCTTTAAATCAAGAAAATGACAGTTTCTGTTTCTCAGAATCAGAGAATGGTATAAAAGACTCAGATAGTTAAAATGGCTCTTTTTATTTTATAAAGCTAAACTTGAACAACAGGCATCTATTCTCTTATTTAAAATCCCTTGGGTCAGATACTTTGGGAATTCTAAATCTTTTCGATTTTAGAATGGTAGTAATTGGTTATTTACTTTATTCGGACTGTTAGCCTCATCTTCATTGCCATATTCACAACGTTTCGGCCGTTGTATGCTCCGGCCTTCTTCAGGTGACTGGAATTTCGAACCGAACCCTTTATTTCGTCCACCGGGGTATATTATTCTAGATCCACGTGCCATGCCTTTCCCGGATGTCTCAGTTATTTCCCTTCAACAACTCTCCAAGTTTTGGTTCAACACTGCTGTGGCCTGGTATTGAACTCACAACTCTTTGGGTCTAATCACTGGATCTAACCAACGTCTTTTCCACTGGGCTATGTGTAAAGGGTTCGGTTCGAAATTCAAATCAGCTGAAGAAGGCCGGAGTGTACAACGACCGAAACGTTGTGAATATGGCTATGAAGACGAGGATAGCGGTCCGAATAATGTAAATAATGTAAGTAATCATAATACCTCAACTCAGAGATATAGACAAATTGCATATGTACTGGAAAGCATTTATATTGGAAGACCTCATGATAGGGATATATTTGAACGAAGTAGCTAAGTGGTTTTGGCTACTATAACCCAGTAGAATACGGTAGCAGTAATCGACTGGTACCCGTCGTAGTCGCAGGTAAGAAGTGTAGATCAATGGCGTAGTCCAATGGGCGTCGGTATAGACTTAGCTCTCAGACTAAGGCTCTTTGACTCTCCTACACGCCCGTCAGTATTTATGACGGACACCAGCCAATCATATTCCAGTGGGGGGGAACACAGGTGTATGCATATTCCATTACATCACCTCATAATCACAATCAAGAAGAAAAAGTTAAAATGGTATGGACATGTCATAAGAGCCAACAATTTTCCCCACTGCCATCCGACATAACATAATAGCCAAAAGAGTCAGACAGACTGGTGGGGGGATGAAAGATTATTTAGGCTCAGACATTTTCACACAACTCAGACATATGAAGAGAGCTGGTCAAGTGTTCAACAATTCTACATCCACATCCAGTCACGTGATTGATGTTGATAATAGATACTCGATATAAGATAGGCAAATTGATTGTTAACCATAGGGGAATTTGAAGCTCTTAACATTTTCAGTCTTCAAAGTAAAAAAATAATAAATGTAGTGTCAATCGCCATCTTTGATATATTTATGGTTGAAATTGTAGTGCTCTGGGTGGTATCTGCACAGGAGTCTGTTCCATAAAGCAACGTATGTTTTAGGTGATATAAGGTTATATAAACTGGCAAACATTTCACATTTTGCGAATCAGCGATTTAAAGATATTTTCATAAGTTCTGGAATTTGAACGGAAACTATATTGTCTCGTTCCATGTATGCAAATAAAAATGTGGATAAAAAGAGAAATTCTTACTTTTGCTCCTTCGCTTGGTTATTTTTACGTTGAGAATTCCGAAGTCTCTTTTTTCTTTCTTATTTTTTCTTTTTTTTTTTTTTTACATCGTTGGATACCAAACAATGTGATAAATAGGAAGGTTTTTGGACGAAAATATATCACCAAAATGATGCGCAGAATAGTATGTAATCCAGAGAAGGTTACTGAATAAAATAATCACACAAAGGTTGGTAATGAACGATAATACTTAGGACACGAACAACACATATAAGATTCGCCAGCCGCGCGTAGAAGAAGTAGTCAACTGCGAGAAGTGAGTCAAGTGAATTCCACAATGAATCTCCAATTGCAGGATATCTACCAACCGCCCCACGCGGTCAGATGTGACATAAATCCGAATTTAATGTGGGGAGAAATTTATTCCGTAGTATTACATGCTATATCACAGAAAGAAGTCGCACACGTGTTGCTCGTACCAAGGTTCATGGTGAAGAAATTGAATTTAACGTCTTTTGGCAGGATGTCCGGCAGGAATAGATTTTGTTGCATGCTGGGAGTATTTTATTATTTTTATTTAATTCATTTTATACAACGTTTTCATGTTATTGCTTCATTCTATTTATAATTTTCATTATTATTATTATTATTATTATTATTTTATTTGTATTTATTTATAATAATAATATTCTTACAATATGTAAATAAATTATTTATCCCTACTCAGTATCCTCTTTTGTTTGATGCTTGGATTTACGTTTGCCGGTGTGGAGAATGAATTAACCTCCACAACTGTGACAACAACAATAACAACAAGGTTTTGCATTCCAGGTTACCCATTTCTGCCTCTGCGACAATGGGAAAACATCTCTCCGGAAGTCTGTTTCACAAAGCAGCAGTTCTTGGCAATTTTCGAATGGAACTTACTTTTTACTGTAGGTATGCAAAGGGAACGGATATAATTCACCGTTGTGTACGTTGCATGCAGGGTCCCAGTTGTAAAGGCAAAGAGTAATGGGACTAAAGAAGGTAGCTCGTCAGAACAATTGCCATGGAAATAGCGACAGAGCAGTAAGGGGATTGCAACTTTTCGTCAATAGGAAAAGTTTTCTACAGTGGTTACTTTTATGTTATTTTTTTAGCTTAACATATAGATATAGCTTTTTGGCAAACAAAAATCTTTTTTAAAACATATCAACAACTGAGGGCGAATGCTTTTTTCCCCTCATTCTCATGCGTAAGTTTGATGTAATAAATTAGGCCAGTAATATTAAATAAAAAAAAAAAACTTTTGATGCTGAGCCGATCTGCTCTTGAGCCAAAGTTTGTTGATGTCGATTGCTGCCTAAATGCCGAATTTTAGTGGGTAAATTTAGTGATCGACAATTATTATCGAGCAAAATTATAAAGAAATGAATGCGGCCATGGTAAGAGGAGTGGGTTGTTCTGTTGAAAATGATAAATCAAACTCACTTAGATGCTGATATGTTATTCTTTCTAAAACAATGGGCGAGGTTTATGTGTTCTCTACCTTGGGTGGCTCTTGTGCCTTCTATAAAATAATAATATTTGTGATGTGAATGTAAACATAAAGAAAATATAGAGAATGTTAAGATTGGTTAAATACCTGAAGAAAATGAAACTTGTCTTTTAAGTAAACGTATAAATCGATCGAAGATGTATATGGTGGATTTTTAAGCGTAACTTAAGTGTGGCACAAGGCTGAAAGCATGAAGCATCCAGTGAGGATCGAACTCATTTCTCAGTTGTAACTGATCTATCGAGTCAAGCTTGCTAACGACACTACCACGTCGAGGTGCCCAATAATCAGCTCTATATGGTGATTTTCTAAGCGTAGCTAGGATACGGCACAAGGTCAAAAGTATAGGGCGCCTAGTGAGGATCGAACTCACTACCCAGTCGTAATTGTTCTAGCGAGACAAGCTTGTTAACCATTACACCACATCGAAGTACGCCACGTGAAGATGTATATGAAAGCTGATTTTTCAGCGGCAACTTTTAGTGGTGAATGGCGAGCTACATTGGATGGGCCAGTGGTTCGAGTAAAGGCTGATGACTGGAGTAAAGGCTGATGAATGGAGTAAAAGCTAATGGTTGGAGTAAAGGCTGATGACTGGAGTAAAGGCTGATGAATGGAGTAAAATCTAATGGTTGGAGTAAAGGCTGATGACTGGAGTAAAGGCTGATGAATGGAGTTTTTAATGGTTGGAGTAAAGGCTGATGACTGGATTAAAGGCTGATGAATGGAGTAAAAGCTAATGGTTGGAGTAAAGGCTGATGACTGGAGTAAAGGCTGATGAATGGAGTAAAAGCTAATGGTTGGAGTAAAGGCTGATGACTGGAGTAAAGGCTGATGAATGGAGTAAAAGCTGATGGTTGGAGTAAAGGCTGATGACTGGAGTAAAGGCTGATGACTGGAGTAAAAGCTGATGACTGGAGTAAAGGCTGATGACTGGAGTAAAAGCTGATTGTTGGAGTAAAATCTGATGGTTGGAGTAAAGGCTGATGACTGGAGTAAAAGCTGATGGTTGGAGTAAAGGCTGATGAATGGAGTAAAAGCTGATGGTTGGAGTAAAGGCTTCTGACTGGAGTAAAAGCTGATTGTTGGAGTAAAAGCTTATGGTTGGAGTAAAGGCTGATGACTGGAGTAAAAGCTGATGGTTGGAGTAACGGCTGATGACTGGAGTAAAAGCTGATGGTTGGAGTAAAGGCTTCTGACTGGAGTAAAAGCTGATTGTTGGAGTAAAAGCTGATGGTTGGAGTAAAGGCTGATGACTTGTGTAAAACCTGATGGTTGGAGTAAAGGCTGGTGGCTAGAGTGATGGTTGGTTTGATCGATTTGTTTTCTTTTTTTTTACTACTTATCAACCATTTTTTATGTTATTTAAAGCCGAAATCTATTATTGGATTGTAAGAATAATTCTTTTTTTTTAAAAAAAAAACAAAAAAAAAACGTGAATATTGTATTAACAATTTTTTGGAAAATAAGAATGATTTTCAGATAAAGGTCTTACCATTTAACTCATAGATGGGGGAGGCAGTTCTGGGTTCATACCTTTTCTGATGATATTTGCGTGTTAGTAAATGTAAGAAATAGAATTCGACTACTTTTCTTCGATTTATTCCGAACCAGCATCCATTACAGTTCTTGCACATATATGCTTACATCAACAGGTATTCCAAAGCGGGCTAAAGGTTGGGTCCTTCATGGAAATAGTCTACCAACACATCTTAGATAGAGTAATGTCTTAAACTAGTATTGCATATGCCTCTTCAAGTTGAATATTGTTATACAGTAATTAAAGTGTCGCTGCCGACACTGGAGTTTGAACACAGATCACCAGTGCGCAAACACAGGGGGTTCAATTTGTAAGTAGACCATGTAATCGTAAAGTGAAATATATATATATATATATATATATATATATATATATGGGAATTAGCATGACGTCTAAGAGATCACCATCTCTATTCTATCCTCTATTACTATACGGATCACTATTTCTACTCTATCCTCTATTGCTATTCGGATCGCTATTCTTTATACAATTCACTATACTATTTCTCTATACTGGTCACTATACGGATTACTATTACTATGGTTACTGTTCGAGCGAGTATTATGGAGCAAGTACTGTTAGTGCGAGTGTTATACGAAGGCATCTGACACCAGTATTGTTCAACTGTGTTACGTTATCAGTTATAGTTGCATCTGCGATTAAAGTCTCTACTACAACGAGGATTACAAAAGTGACAACGAGTGTTCGTTGACATCACAAAAAATATCAAAATAAATGAAGATAGTTATTGGAAGTTCTTGGTTAAGATTATTTTTTTGTTACAGGCAAAAAATGAGAAGGTTTAGACACGTGATGTGATACCCGTCTGTCTTTTTCTACAAATATTTTCATGACGACTGTTCTGATAAGCTATCTTCCCTGATGCCCCGACTATATGAATTTAAGCGTACTACTAGATTGGCATATAGGTCCCATCCTTTTACTGTTGAAATACTTAACTGTAACCACCGCTTCTACTCCAACAGTTTCTTTTCTCGCGCTTCCCGACAGTGAAACTCCCTTCCGCTTACCTGCGTCAATCGCCATCTTCTGTTGCCGTGATCCCCGTTCTTCTTTTATCCTTTCCTCAATCCCCCCCCCACTATGCACAGTCTTTTCTGTCACTTTCACTCTCTGTAACCCCCTGCGTTCTAGGGGCTCTCTCGTCTTGCTTGGGGTGAAATGCTTAAAAAATATTATCAAAGACATTGCTCTTTCATATTTTGTAGGCTTTCGGCCGTATCACGTTGAAACATCGGTTCCCGTGCGTAGGATCATCGAAGTTAAATAACGCTGAAGCTTGTCAGTACCTACATGACAACTTGGGAATGCCAGGTGATGTAAGCTTGGATGTGCGGGTGGTGTAATAAATAACGTCTCAGGATTGGAAATCGAAGAGCCGTTGGGTTCGTTATATTCACTTAGACCAAATACCCTTGGCAAATTTATGGATCCATCTCATCTCGCCTCCCGTCTATGGGTTAATTAGTAGATCTTGTATCAGGAAATAATTATTATCTCAAAAGATTCTTTAACTTAAAGGCGTTAAATAAACTGCAAAAAGTTGACAAGCTGTAAAAAATATCAATCAAACCTTCATATCTTGTAAAGCTGATTCTTGCTAAACTTGTTAAAAAAACGGGTTTCAAAGACATATTAAAAACAATCTATATAAGGAAATAGTATCCAAGTAGAGAAGATCTCTTGGAGGTAATACGAACTGATGAAAAGTAATGTTAATGTCGAAACAATATAACATTAAGAAAATCTATGACTGAAAAATTGACAAAGTTGACAGAAGAATACCATATTAACATATAAAATGATAATGTTCATGCGATATTTTGTTAATTAACAATATGTAAAATAAAAATAATATGATATACTTTGTGTCATAAAACCTGACACTGCTAAAATAAATTGTTATTAATAATATTAATAAAACGACATTTTGTAAACTGAAACATACATGATATATAAGTAGAGGTTGAAAATGTTAGCAACATCGGTTGGTTAATACCAGTTTTAATGTGAAAACATTGACTGATATATAAAATCTGATACATTGTTGATAGATAGATAGATAGATAGATAGATAGATAGATAGATTTGTTGACCAAAGGTGTTGTTCGGTTTAAGTAAATTTTATGCTTAAGAAAACAAACCTAATAGATACGAATTACAATGTAGCCATGTAAAAATTATCCATATATCTATTTATCCATCTTCTCCAAGAGAGAGAGGGAGAGAAAGACACAGAGAGAGAGAGAGAGAGAGAGAGAGAGTAACATAGAAAAAGATATATTTACCGATTTTTTGATAAATATTTAGTTTTCAATGCGGGAAAATATGGAAAAAAAATACAATTAAGAGATGTGTTCTTATTTTATGAAAAATGGTTTTATTTTGTAAATATACATTTCATGTTCTCTTTTTAAAAAAGTTCGATAAAAGATGAATTTAAAAAGGCAGGAAATTTTTTTTGAAAAAATGGCTGCCGTTATTAATGGCCTTGTAATGCCTGTCCAAATATGTGAGCCATATTTGCGTGTGCATGACCAGCGTGAGCTTGATCATTACCGAAATTATTTGTCGCATGTCCGAAATCTTCTGGGACTTGTTCGGCTACGACTGGCGATGAATATTCTGATTGTCCGTAGTTTAATGACCCGCCATTATATAAACCCCCGTAGCCATTTTCGTAAGAATAGTCATTTCCATACCCCACGCTGTCAGAATCGTCATCGGGAATAGATATTGTACAGCCACAATCATCAGCACTGAAACCAGTACCCCTTGGACACGGCTGCGTCATCCAGCCGTGACCCTCAGAAAAAGTAAGAAAATGTTTAATGTCATTGCCCGGTTTCAGTGGACACGGACCATTCCATGGTTCAGCTTCAGAGTTGTCTTCAGAGCTACTGTCGCTGATCTCTTCTTCAGGAACAGTCATAGAACATCTGCAGGTATCGGCGTCAAATGTAGTCCCTTTGGCACAGGTTTGGTGCAACCAACCATGACCCGGGACCAGCTGCAAATAGATTTGAGGATTATCGGTTGGTTCTCGGGTGCATGTTACCTGTTTGGGGATTTCACAGTCTTCATTCTCTTCGCTGCTGCTATCGTCGTGATTGGCATGTTCCCGAGGAAGAGAGATTGTGCATGCGCAGTCAGTAGCACTGTATGAGGTTCCTTCAGCACATGGACGTAATATCCAGCCATGTCCTTCAACAAATTGCAAATAAGACTTGCTGTCAGAGCTTGGTTTCCTCATACACAGATGAGATTTTGGTTTCAAGATGTCTTCATTGTGCTCTTCACTGCTGCTGCTGCTGCTATCATCATAAGCAGATGGCGCAATGTAATCTTTGCCAGATGTCTGCTGATTCCAAGAATTACCGCGTTCTCCGTTGTTTCTATGATCATAACCGGATCTTGTGATGGAGCTCTTGCCATAAATCTGTTGACTCCATGAATGACCATGTTCTTCACTACTGCTGCTATCATCACTGCCTCCATGAGCAACAGCCATTGAGCATGCGCAGTCATTAGCACTGTATATTGTTCCTTGGGGACAGGGTCGACTTATCCAACCCATACCCTCTATAAATTGCAAATAAGAGCTTTTATCATGGGTTGGTTTTCGTGTGCAGGGAACGGCTCCTTTGCGATAATTAGCGGTATTCCAGGAACTTCCGTCTTTTTCGCTGCTACTCTCGCCATAACCTGCTGGGATTTTAATTCCCTTTCCATGGTGACTCCAAGGATGGCCGTCTTCCTCGCTGCTGCTGCTGCTATCATCATAACCAGATAATGTAGCAGAAACCTTGCCGTAACTTTGCTGACTCCAAGAATGTCTATATTCTTCGCTGCTACTGTCATCATCATTGTCTCCATGAGCAACAGCCATTGAGCATGCGCAGTCATTAGCACTGTATATTGTTCCTTGGGGACAGGGTCGACTCATCCAACCCATACCTTCTATAAACTGCAAATAAGAGCTTTTATCATGGGTTGGCTTTCGTGTGCAGGGAACGGCCACTTTACGATAATTAGCGGTATTCCAGGAACTTCCGTCTTTTTCGTTGCTACTCTCGCCATAACCTGCTGGGATTTTAATACCCTTTCCATGGTGACTCCAAGGATGGCCGTCTTCCTCGCTGCTGCTGCTGCTGCTGCTGCTATCATCATAACCTGATAATGTAGCAGAAACCTTGCCATAACTCTGCTGACTCCAAGAATGGATATCTTTTTTGTTGCCATCATCATTGTCTCCATGAGCAACAATAACTGAGCATGCGCAATCATCAGCACTGTAAGCTGTTCCTTTCGGGCAGAGTTGTCTTTTCCAACCTTTACCCTCTATAAACTGTAAATAAGATCTTCTATCATGGGTTGGTTTTCGGGTGCATGTAACTGGCTCATTATTGCAAGAATCTCCATCTTCTTCGTTGTTACCATAAGTCTGTTGGTCCCAAGAATGAACATCTTCTTCACTGCTGCTGCTGCTATCGCCATTGACTCCATGAGCAACAGTAACTGAGCATGCGCAATCAACGGTACTGTAAGCTGTTCCTTGGGGACAGGGTTGAGTTTTCCAACCTTTACCCTCTATAAACTGCAAATAAGACGTTTCATCATCTGTTGGTTTTCGTGTGCAGGGAATGGCTCCTTTACCAGTATTCCAAGAACTTCCGTCTTCTTCGTTGTTACTGCCATCATAACCCTCAGGTACGCTGAGGCCCTTGCCATAAGTTTGCTGACCCCAATAATTGCCCTCTTCTTCGCTGCTGCTGCTGCTGCTTCTATCATCATAACCGGATTGTCCTCTTTGACTCTTATCATAAGATTGGTAGCGCCAGGAATCTTCTTCGCTGCTGCTACTCTCATCGGAAGGAACAGATACTGTACAACCACAGTCACCAGCATTGAAGGCAGTGCCCTTTGGACAAAGTCGGGTCATCCAACCATGACCTTCGACAAATTGAAGGAAATTATTTTGGCTGCTTGTTGCTTTTAATAAACAATGTCCGTCCCATTCTTCAGATTCGGAATCATCATCTTCACAGCTGCTGTCACTTGAACCATCTTCGGATGCAGAACAACGGCAGGTACGAGCATCAAACATTGTTCCTTTTGCACAAGCTCGTCGTATCCAACCATGACCCTGGACCATCTCCATATAGAAATGGCTGTCATCTTCAGCTTCTCGGTTGCACACTTTAGCATCGGCTTTTCCCCAAATGTTCTCTTCACTACTGCTGCTGTCGTCGGATAAGAAGAGAGTGCAGGAACAGTCCTCAGCACTGTAAGCTGTCCCATCAGGGCAGGATTGTCTATTCCAACCCTTACCCTCTACGAATTGCATGTAAGATCTTCTATCATGGGTTGGTTTTCGAGTGCAGGCAACAGGCGCTGTTTTACCGTTGTCCTCTTCACTGCTACTGTCGCTGTCGCCTTGGTCTTGTTGAGGTAGAGAAACGGAACAGCCGCAGTCCCTTTCACTGAACAATGTCCCTTCTGGGCATGATCGTCGCATCCAGCCATGGTTTGGAACGAGTTCTAAATAACAGCCGGGATCGTCAGCAGGTTTCAGTCTGCATTGCACCTCAGATTTCGTATCCTCACAGTTTTCATCACTGCTATCGTCATTAACTGGACGGTAGACTGCGGCAAAAGCCTGGTTGGTTAAGGCCAGGGCAAGTAGCAATGGCACAAACGTGTAACCTAGAGAAATACGCATTTTTTTTTTTTCGTCTAGGCTCTTCGTTTCTCGCTTTTACAAATTTAGCTCTGTAGATATGTTTCTCGAGTGGACTGGAGGAAGTCTGTGATCTGGAGTTGTTCAGAGTCCCTTTATATACAACTATTTCGTATTACTTTTTTCGTAATGCCATCATCTTCATCACCGCTAATTAATCGACGTTTGGTAAAGCGATGGGGTGGGGTGCTTTAGTAAAATATGACGAAACGTGATGAGTAGTAAAACTATTAGCACATTTACTACATTAATTCAAATCACCAATCAATCACCTATTAACGCACAGCGATCTCCATTTTAGCATGAGCAATGAGAATGTCACCCTAACCGCAGAATAAAGCATTGTAAGTACTGGGTTATATTTTCTTTTAAGGTGTGAGGTGAGTTGGTTTTATGTCAGCGAAACGAAGAATTTCTTTCTTTGCTTTTATCTCCCAACCCCCGTACCACGCTAAAAAAAATTGTTATTGTTGGTATGCGGCTTAAATATCTTCAGATGAAATGTAGGCGGTTTTGTTTCGTATACTCTTAAAATAAATGTGTAATGTGTAAACTGAACCGCAAAGCCATGTTCGTGCGGGAGACAGTTTGACAATTCCCCCGCCGGACACCATACACTTATTTCATGGTGGGAACTTCACTAGAGTTGATATAATTATCCACACGCCCATTTGAAAAAAAAAAAAAAAGACATCTTTCATACGCTTTGTATTTGATTTTATAATTCAATAACTTTTGGCTAATCGGGGTTAGTGAGCAACCTCGGAGACGGGGTAATGAGTTCAATTCTCAGTGGAGGCCTTATATTTTAAACTTTGTGCCAGACAGATAAGCCTTTCGTAAATATGGGCATTTCTCTACAGAGCAATGTTTAAAAAAAAAAAAGTAGTCACTCAGAACATCACTAATGTTTCTCAACATTTTTCCCTTCAGGACGCACTTGTAGAATAACTAAAACTCTGGGGTACACTTTAGATTTTAATAAGGAAAAATTAGTCCTGTAATTTGAAAAGCCGAGTTCGAATTCTAGTTGAGTTCATTAGATTCACTTACGCAGAAATACCCTCGGAAAAGGTATGAATCCATCACTTCTCCTCCCAGCTATGGGCTAAATATCAAGGCAGACTGCGTTCTTTAGCCTAGGTTGGCAACCAGTCTACCGCAGAAAGAAGTGCCAAACTCCTGAAGGAAAATTCCGCCTCGTCAGTCATGTATCGAATGTATACATGATCGACAAAGCGTATATCACGCATAGCACATAACTGACTGACTGGCTTCCCAGTCTAATCTATTACATTCACTTACGTTCTAATACCCTTGGGAAAGGTATGAATCCTCTTCTACCCACAGCTATGGGTAAATAGCAGGACAGACCAGGTTCTATAGCCTTGGATGGCAAACAGTCTACCGCAGAAAGAAGTGCCAAACTACGGAAGGAAAAATCCGCCTCGTCAGTCATGTATCGAATTAGACATGATCGCCTAAGCGTGTATCACTTATGGCACTTAACTGACTGAATTTGAAAATAAGAAAATAATAAAAAAGCCTCCTTAAATAAGCATTTATTTTTTAAGGCATTACATTATATATATAAATATGCTTGTGTGAAACCCTGAACTTGATGTGCTTTAGCAAGTTTCAGAATGTTAGTCCTTATATGTAATAAAACATAATATCATTTCCTCATCACTGCATTTAATATCCGATCTATTTTGGCCTTTAATGTTGGTAAGTGCGCAAAATCCTAATTCACAGAGGTGTGATGTGGAAAATTGCAATCAAATATTCAAAGCTTTACTAGCAATTGAAGGATGTTATTCTTGGATGGAAATCCAAGATTGATCAATGGGCACCTCTTTATGATCAATTTGTAAACCCCGATCAGCACAGATTTAGTGACCAGCTCTTCTTCTGTTAAAGAATTTAGCATCCATTTTAAAATATCAGATAACAAAGACTTGACTTAGACATGGAAATCATATGCTTGATATCTCTAGATTCTTAAACATAAAGATTTTTTTAAATATAAAGTTAATTAATAAATTACACTTCTGTTAACTTAGTGCTGTAGAAGTTTCAATCCTCAAGCGCCGCAAATACCTATTAATTCTGGAAAAAAAATTATGGAATTAGCACACTTAATTCTGTTCGATCCTTAGTCCAGGAGTTTGTTTTGTTTTGTTTTGGTTTACGGCATATCAACATCTCAATGGGTTATTTAATGCCGACAAAATTTTTATTGCTGGTAATATATTTTTCTTCAAAAATCTATTTCTGGGAATATTTTTCCTTGAAGAAATCGAAATCTGGTCATATTTTTTTTTCAAAGAATGTTTGTATTGCTGGTATTTTTTTAAAAGTATTGCTGATAATAATCTTTCCTTTAAAAAATTATTGCTGGTAATAATTTTTTTATTACAAAGTATTTCTGGTATTAAAACCTATTTTTACACAAGTTTGGGTGTTAACTATTTGGCCATAGCTGGGACCCTAACAGTTGCTACAACCCCGGGTCAGGGCGGACCTGGGAACACCAGCAATTAAGAGGTGGTTCTTCGTTCCTCAAAACCTCCTGATCAGAGGCCTTGCTGTTGGACGTAGTTTATCGTCTTACCCAGAACAGGGATGCAGTTTACCAACATATCCAGGACGATGTCCCGAAGTTGGTTGGCGCATATGCTATACCGTCCGATTACCGCAGATTAATAACGATTACCGCAGATTAATAGAGTTATTAAGCTTAAAAACGATGAAATAGGGGAAATTCCACGGATATTTTATGATCGTAAATCTCCCAAGGAGATTATCTATTCATTAAATTAAGAAGTATTATTATTCATCAGAAAAATAGAAAAACGTGAAAATTTCAAGATTAGTCCTGGTTATTATTTTTGAATCATTTCACTCCAAGCAAGGCAATAAAATAAAAGAACAGGAAAGACACAAGTGGTTACATTGATTTAAATTTTTCAAATCATAGAAAAAAAATTATTAGGAGAGAGGACAATAAAAGAACAGGAAAATAAATTATAACTTACGCTTGATAACGATTGACATTGCATTTAAATTTTTCAAGATCAATGTTGACTGGAAAACAAAAAGCTAGGAGAGAGTTCGACAAGCGAGAACTGCGAGAAAATAAACTGTTAGTATATAACTTACGCTTACATCTAGCCGTTTCAATTTTGATGAGATTGCCAATCTAGTAAACATAAAAAATAAATTCTAACGCGAATGACAAACGCAGGAATTAAATATAGAAATTAAATGTATTTACACAATAATACAATGGGTAATACTGTTAGTAAATCCAGGAACGCGGTTAGTAGTAATAATATAATAATATATATATATATATATATATATATATATATATATATATATATATATATATATATATATACAGTCTAGAGTAGGACTTCCTTAGAGTCTGTTAACTTTTAACTGACTTCTACAAGCGGTTACCTCACACTATTACTCTACCTCCAACTCAATCACAATCACTGTCTCTCTCTCTATATTCTGACTGACTCTGGGTATTTAACGGCAGCAGTCCAAGTAACACTCTGGTCGAGTCCACTTATATGAAAAAGGGGAGGACCCCATAACACCCCCCTCCTTAGATCCCTTTTTTGGGGAGTTAGTATTTTTGTCTCTTATGGTTGATAATCAGGGGTTCGACAAATTTTCTCTTCCTGTTTGACCTTCTCATTTCTGTGTCTTCCTGCTGTCTTTGGATCTCAAACGCTTCGAAGATTGCATCCATAGAATCGTCGTTTTCTGTGGTTGACGAGCTTGTCTCCTCAATCCGTCTTTTGTAATTGATCGATATGTCTTCTTTGTGAAAACTTCTCTCCTTGTACTGTGTACATAAGATTTCCTAATCTGTTGATTATTGTGCCCGGCTCCCAGTATGCCATATTGTTTCTAAACATCCTAAAATAAACCCGTTCTCCAGATTTAAATGATCTCTTTGGTACAATCGGTGTATACTGGTTTTTGTTCTTGTTTGGCAATAATTTGTCAAACACAGACCTTATTCTCCGAGAAAACATCAATTCCGCTGGTGAAAGACCCGATGGCGTGTTCACGTTAGGTGTTATTCTGTACACTTGGAGGAACTGTTGTATCGCTTTTATCGTCAGTACATCCTCGGCTTTTTTAACGCTTTTTTAGTGTGTCAACGAATCTTTCAGCTTGTCCGTTCGACCTCGGGTGGTACGGAGCTATCTTGATATGCTTTACTTGATATGTCTCACAAAATTCTTTAAAGTCACTGGAGGTAAACTGTGTGCCGTTATCGCTTACCAAACAATCCGCGACGCCAAATCTCGCGAATAGTTCGTGTAAACAGTTTATGGTGTTTTCTGTCGTCGGGTGTTTAAATCTGGCAACCTCTGGCCATTTACTGAAACTATCTACTGTTATTAAATAATAGTAACCTTCAATGGGTCCTGCGTAATCCACGTGTATTCTGGACCACGGTCTGTCGACTTTAGGCCATGGCCTTTGTATAGAGGGTGGTGCTTTCGCCGCAGCAGCACAACCTTTGCAACTTTCCACCATTTGCGTGATATCATCGTCCATGTTCGGCCAGTAGACAAAACTTCTCATAAGTGATTTCATCCGGTTTTTTCCGGGATGTCCTAAGTGAAAATCTTTTAAGATCCTTCTTCGTAGTGACTTCGGTATTACTACTCTCTCGTTATACAATAATATGTTGTCACAGATTGAGAAACTGTCTGCTAAATTCCTCACTTTCTCTTCTATTTTTTTTCTTGGTATCCTGAATAAACTCGTCTCTTTCTGCTTCTCGTCTTATCTCTAGCAGCGTTACAGGTAGTTCCTTTATTGTATTGCATAGTACCTTACTGATTTCATCTTCAGCTTGTAATGCTGCAATTACCGAATCTTCTAACGGTTCGCTTTTCGCAGGTATTAATCGCGATAGTCCGTCAGCGTGTCCTATTTTCTTTGATGGT